TAAATGCCGGCTCCTGCACTGGGGAAATACCAACCCAGTGCAGCGCGACAGGCTTGGAGAGGAGTGGCTGGAAAGCTGCCTGGAGTAGAAGGACCTGGGGGTGTTGGTCGACAGCCAGTTGAACATGAGCCAGCAATGTGCTCAGGTGGCCAAGAAGGCCAATGGCATCCTGGCCTCCATCAGGAATAGTGTAGATGTTGTGCTTAGGGACGTGGTCTAGTGGTGGACTTAGGGCTGGTTCGATGGTTGCACTTGATGATCTTAAAAGGTCTTTTCCAACCTAAACCATTCTATGATTTTTGAAGTGGGAAATGTTTAGGTATGTCTTCCACTGCTGGATTGCTGTTTTTTGTGGTTGGCAAAAGATGTTGAAATGTTGTGTGTGTGAATTAACAGTAAAGATCGAACAAAACAGATACTTCCTGCTTTTTCATAATGTGTAGTTCTTAATATAGCAGCTAAACTGTATTAAAGCCAAGTAAAACCTTGCTTTTCAGAGAAAAGCTGTTACCTACTCTCCTGATTACAAATTCAAGAAGGATGAGGTTATTTCTATTGGAATTTAGAACTGTATAATCTGAAGGCTGTTCTGCTTAATACATTGATCCAAGGAATAGTTTTGAATGCTTCCTGCTGTATTTGTTCTAAAGTCCATACATAAAACTGTAATTAACAATGTTCTTCTGAATTAAAAAAAAAAATAGCTTTGCAGGCTTATATCAGTCAAGCTTGTCTTTAGTAGGATATCAGTTATGAGAGGGAAATGTGCAAGAGGGCATGACTGCGGGAAATAATGTCTTCTCTTCATGAATATTTGAGTCAGATGCATTTAGTTTGAAAGGAGTCACTGCAAACAGTTTGTCTTAGTGATAGCAAGGCATAATTCCAATGCCATAATTACAGTTTAGTTCAGAAGCAGATAGCTAATTCTCACATTAATGAGTCTGAGTTGCAGGTGTTGCTGGGCCTTGCGGTGTTGCTAACAGAGCGTCAGGACACGCAGCTGAGAGCGAGCCTGGCTGTCACACCAGAGACAGAGGTAGAGAAGCTCTGGACCTATGTTAAGCTCTTGTACAACGCTCATAACACTGAAAACTTCACTAAATGATGTAATTGAAACATCTCAAATGTGGAAGCGATTTTATTTTTTTTAAACTTTGAAGACCAGTTCAATGTAGTAGAAGGGCACTTGAGTCTCTCATCTTAGATCTGATTTAAATTCAAGCTTCTCTATCTTGAATACCTGTCCCTTCTCTAATAAGGCTGAATGCCTACCCAGTGGGAGTAGGATAGGGAACAGCGTTAGTAATAACTGTCATGTTCATGGTCTTCCAGTTTTCAGACCAGTGTGACTCCTGCTATCAGAAGGTACTTTCATATGGAAGAAGCAGGTAACTGTATTCATGCTGAACTGAGAAATGAGGACACTGCATACAGACTGTTTAATAGAGTGATCAAGAGTTGTGGCACCCCAGCAGAAATGGGCTGTGCCAAGCACAATGCTGACAGAAAATAGCTATTTTCAGCAACTCTGTAACTTTCTCAGACTTGGATGGATGCTAGTGGGAACAGGTAAAGGTTACCCTTGTGCTGCAGGTATTCTTCTACTAGATTTTGGGTTGTGCTGTCAAAAGTTCCAATAACAATGATAACACACACACACACACATGTCATATGCATAAAAGTACGTGGGAAGAATTTCTGTGAAGAAATACGTGTGATGAAGCTGCTGGGTGTGCTGCTTTCCTTCGTTGCACAGTGGGCTGGTACCACTGTGGTGATACAAAATAGTAAGTGTTTTGCTATTGATGAGAATTTTATATCTTGTTTACACATATTTGATTAGCTACACATAGATATATCCTACTTGCAAAGTTGGCAGAATTCTTGGACAGTCTGAATTCAGATATTTAAATATCAGAATATTTAATTCTGATATTTTCTTTATCAGAATATAAAATTGGCCTTTGTCACAATTAGAAACTTAGCTAGGTTTTTTGTTGCTTAAATATATTTTGCCATTCCT